GACTGAGTTAGAAAAGATAGTTCAAAAATTCCAGTTTTTAGTGCCATTTTGTAAATTTTGTAACTCCTACTTGGTAGATCCAAATTGAGTACTTCCAATTTTGTTAGACTCATTGTTAGATCTAGTATTTAATAAAAATATATCTTGAGCATATCATGTAGAAAATTTGGATGAATTAAATAGGAACTTGAAAAGTGTTTTTGATTGCATGCAAACTTGTTTAAATCATATCTTGAGTTTCTGTGATCCAAAAATTGTGAAATTTTGTGGGTAAGCTAGTATGGTATAGTAGAAGCTCTGGTTAAAATTTGAGAGTCATTGCATGTGTAGTTTTTGAGTTATAGATTTTCCTTTTATCATTGGATGATTCTTGTGTAAATTTTAGTAAATAATCTATGAATCCAATGGCCATGAAACTTGGTAGGTAGTATCCTAGTGCCCTAAGGATGCTAGGAAAAATATGAAATCTGTTGCTTGACACTTTTCATTAGGGTTTCCTAATTATGCCATTTTAAGCCATTATGCCTTGTCATTTTTGTGTAGGCTTTTATGCTTGCTCAAATGGTGTGAAATTTTATGGTAGTCTACTTAGAGTATGTAGTGTCTACTGTAATTTTGTAGAATTAATGGGGCAGTTTTCATATAGGTTTACTATTTCCCTAATTAATTAAATAAATTAAGAAAGGTATTAAAAGAAATGTTTTGGTAATGGACATCCTACTTTCTGGTGTTCTTAGGATATGTGTGATAAGATAGTAAAGTTGGTTTTGTCTAATTATATGTTTACATCATAAGTTGCTAATTATTTGTTGGCATTATGTCCCTCTGGACAGATCTGGGGACTTTAGAAAGTTCCCCATGAGATTTTGGTTTTCTGTGAATATGATGAATACAAGAGTTGTAGATAATTTATGTATCTAGCTCCTGTCAAAATTTGAGGGCATTTGGCCCAGTAGTTTAGAAACTACAGCTGTTTAAAGTTAGGTTCCTGTTTTGCTTATTCTCTGTCTTGTAGGACAGTGTTCTGTTGATTTAGAAATTCGAGCTGGTAAAGTGTCGAATCATGCTTTGAGGTCTAAAAATGAATTATAGACAATTTCATAAGCTTTCCAGATTGTCTTGTTTCATATCATTTGGAATTATACATCTCCAGTTATGGCTAGTTTAATGTACCGATATATAGTCTTCATTTGCTGAAATACAAATGCTTGATTGAATGTGTTGCAACGTAATCGTTGATTGTTTGGGGTTAGCCTAACTTGAGAATATGCTTAGGTGCAGGTGCTAGGTCATTAACTGAAGATGAGCAATTATACATTAGGTTGTATAGACTTGGTAAGTAAAGTGTATTGAATAAAGCTTAACTTGGAATATGCGAAACTGCGGTGAGCATGTGCATTCCCCGAGCATCCCCGACATTCGTACATGTGCATCCATGATACTTATCTTGCGCATTCATGCAATAGGTGTGCGGAGGGAGTGACGTTGCTGGAGTTCGAGGGAGCCAACCAGGAGGAGGAGCCCGAGGTGCGAGGAAAGTCGAAGAAGCGGCCGTCGCCGAGGAGTTGCCCGAGTGCCACGATCACCACCTTCCTCTTTCCTGAAAGGCAAGCCCGGAGCATTATAAGTCTCCCATGTCTTTACAAATATATTGAGTATCTTTATTGTTGATGATGCATTAAGTATAGGAATTGGTTGGAACCAATTGCTGCATTATATATCCTCCTTGTCCGGATATCGACTTTGAATCCTATTTAAGTTCGAGAACGGGTTAAATGCTTAGCCATGCTTAGTGCGGTAGAAGTCGTGATTTCCTGTCACTGCGAGATTTAGGATGAGGTGGATCACGGTTGGCTATATTTGCTATCGTGGAAAAGAACCATGTGAATAATGAATTAAGACCGGGCGGAGTCTTGTGTAGGTTTGAACATAGTGACTCCGTCTCATGTCGTTTAAGGACCGATCGTTTATGACGTCCTCATGTCATGTTGAACGCAGCCTAACACTTAGCTGGCGGATAAGTCGTTCCGACCGCTGGCCGAGTAGCTCAACTCAGTGCCGGGAACCGTGGGGTTGGATGCATTCTGGAGGTAGTAAGGATGTGCGGAGAGCCATTGGCATAAGTCCAAGCGGAGTCGGGGTTTAAGATCCTGCACTTCTGGCGAGTGGTTCTCTGAGAGATGCAGGGCGGCCCGGACCAGCGTCTTTTCTTTTTTTACTTTTCTCCGAGTTGTACCAAAGGTGACTTGTTTGCGACCACGGCCAGAAGCGGGGTTTTGTGTTAGAATACCCTCCACCGGATAGGAATCGATTGAATCGCCGTCTCTCCCTGGATAGTGAGAACTTGACTTGAGCGGCGACAACGTGAGATTCAATTAATTTAACGATATGGTTAAATGGATAATGATGATGATGATGATAATGTTGCCGAAATTATACCTGCTATGGTTATTAATGTTTGCATATTAATCAAGTGGTTGATTAGTACAGTGATAATATAGATGACGGAGTTAATGGCTTAAAGTCACTTTGCTAGTTCGGGATAAAAGTTGATCATTATTACATATGCTTTTCTGGCAAAAGAAAGTGTCAGCCAGATCCACTAAATAAAGCTATGCATGATCCTTGGTGTCCTTTATTTTGGTTTCCGTCGGGTAAGTCTAGCTGAGTACATTCCCGTACTCAGGGTTTATTCCCTCTTGTTGCGATGACCTTCTCTATCGTGGATTCTGTAAGTATTGTCTCCACCCATGGGTGACGAAGACTAGATCACGGGCATGATCTCCTGTTATCTTATCTGAATGCTTTTGTGGGATGTGATCAAAAAAGCTGGTACTGGTATTGAACTCGTGTGTGTGAGTTAAACTATTTGCTTCCGCTATGTTACAAGACTTGTTTTGTAATAACGATGACTCTGTGTTGATGTAATCTATTTGCGAACGTCTGCGAAATGTTGTAACGTACGATATGTTATGTTGAATTACTGTGATCTTGGTTGTATGCAAGTTGGTTTGAAATCCGTCGTGATTTCAGTTGACTACCGGGTTTATATGGGCGCAAGTTCGAGAATTTGATCGTTTCGGCGATTGTTTTCGTACTTGTACTCTTATAAATTGGTCGGTTCTGTGACATGCTTTAGGCAAACTCCTTGTCCATTGCGCGAAACAGACGCGACTCTCGAACGTTCGTGCAACAGATGCCGCCATCCAACTCCAATAAAAAAAATGTGTAAAGATTATAGCCTGTTCGCTAGATAAGTCCGGCTGATGCTGATTTATTGGAATAGAAAAACACTATTGGCTGGCTGAAACCAACAAGCGAACAGGCTTCTCTCTCTCTCTCTCTCTCTCTCTCTCTATATATATATATATATATATATATATATATATATATATATATGTTGCCGCAGATCCAAGCCCAAAAAAACAGACGTGACGCTGGATCTGTTGCCGGCATCCTAAGTTTATATATGTTGACAAGTGTAAAGACTTAGGTCCCGTTCGGTTAGCTGAAACTTGGCTGAATCAGCTAAAAAACACTGTTTTGACTGAATTGTTGTGAGAGAAAAATATTATTTCAACTGAAAAAATAAGCTGAATAGTATATATTATAAGGTAAATCGAACGGGGCCTTGTGTATGGCCTAGGATGGGGAATAATAGGTCGATGCGTGCATCTGCGACTGCGACATGAACTCTGATCTCCAGGCTTGAGTCACGACTCACGAGCATCACCGATTACCAAACGGCCGACGCTGATCCAATCCTCAGTTCCTCACCACTTGCGCTTTTCAACCTTTGATGCATTTTCCTTTTACCGTTATGCGTTCTCCTGTTGTTAATAATAAAACATGCGTCCGGTAAAGGAGAAAAAAAAGGGAAAAGAGTAAAACGTGTGAATGACTTCATAGAATCATAGATAGGCTAGCTATTGGCTGTTTTCAAAACAATACTAGTGCTTGGATGAACGCAATTGCCGAGTTGGCGATATTTGCCGTGGAGGGAGAAAGCATCTACAGGGATTTATGAAGAAAAATGTCAACTTTGATGACAAAAATGTAAAGACTATAGTATATCCACACATATAGAGGTGTGACTATGGCCCTGTTCGCTTGTCTTATGAGCCGTACTATTTCAGCGAAGAAACATTATTTTTCTCTAATAACAAATTAGCGAATAGTACCTTCAATTATGACTTTTCAGCGAAGCGAACAGGGCCTATGTCTCGTATTAGTTTCCGTCCTACGTCACATAATTCCAAGATCGACATTGTCGTCACGCGGCCATCATGAAAGCCACACAGCCCATTCTTTTTGTTGTCCTCTCATAACTAATAATTTAATACAGTAGATGTAAACAGAAAAATACATAGTCACAAAGTAGAATAACTATTTATTATTCCTTAAATATTGATGATTAGAGCTCCCACGTATATACTTTTATATATATATGAGCCCTATTTAAATATGTATGACTGCTTACTAGTTGGGCCTAAAAATTAGCCTAAATCACATGTAATTGGCTAACAATAGTTAATGATTTAAAAAATAATAATTCATCTATTAGTTTTCCTGCTTTGGATGCACTAGAGCTAATTTTAGCTAATTTTATAACTAACAATTAGCTCTTGCAAACAAGTCCATAGTCCGGCTAATAAGATATAAGAGTTTGCCTAGAACCTATACATAGATAACGCCATAACTAAAAACGGACTAGAATTATCATTTTTCTAGTCGTCTTCTTCTTTTTACAATTTTCGGCGACAGAGACGTAGATATCAATTCGCCTTGGCTCAATCAATCACGGTCCGTAGCTTTGCAGCCGGAGCTCAACCAATCACGCGGTCCGTAGACCGTAGCTTAGCAGCCAGCAAAATTCCAAAAAGTCCTCACACGTACTATTACTCGTGCCGTAGGGCCTGTCCGGCGTCCGCCTCTACAAGAACAAGACCACGTCGCATAGTAATGCACCCGTTCCACGGAGCTCAGCTCAGTAGCTCACCATGGAGCTCTTCCACCTCTACACGCTATGTGCCATCCTCATCGTCTCTTCCCTGTACCTCCGCTTCTTCTTCGCCGGCAGCCGCCGCAACCTTCCCGCGGGCCCCCGCCCGCTGCCTCTCGCTGGCAGCCTCCTCGACCTCGGTGCCCACCCACACCGCTCCCTCGCGCGACTCGCGGCGCGCCACGGCCCGCTCATGGCGCTGCGCCTCGGGTCGGTCACCACGGTCGTCGCATCCTCCGCGGACGCCGCGCGCGACGTCCTCCAGCGCCACGACGCCGCCTTCTCGACGCGCTCCGTCCCGGACGCCGCCCGGGCGTGCGCGCACGACGAGCACTCCATGGCGAGGTGTGCTCCGCGGAGCTCTTCGCGCCGCAACGCCTCGACGCGCACCAGGCCCTCCGCCGCGGCAAGGTGCAGCGGCTCGTGTCGCACGTGGCCGGGCTGGCGCGCCAAGGCGCGGCCGTCGACGTCCGCCGCTTGGCCTTCACGACGGCCCTTAACCTGCTCTCCTGCACCATCTTGTCCGCCGACCTTGACCTTGATGACCGCGGCGCGTCGGGTGAGTTCATGGAGGTGATCGAGGAGTTCCCGGTGGCCGTCGGGGCGCCGAACTTGTCGGACTTCTTCCCGGCAATCGCGGCGTTGGACCCGCAGCGGCTGAGGGCGCGCCTCGTGAGGGTGTTCAAGAAGTTGCACGCCATTTTCGACGAGCAGATTGAGCGGCGCATGCAGGAGCGACCGCCGGGGATCCACCCAAGAACGACTTCCTGGACCTGTTGCTCGACTACCGCGGCGCGGAGGACGGCCGGGGCTTCGATCGGCAAACGCTGCTGTCATTGCTTACGGTAACTCCTTTCCCCATTCCACCACGACATACAACGCTGGGTGTTTTGGTTCTTCTTCGGGTAGACGAGGTTTTCTACACAAAAAGTATCAACACTACAATACCAAATGTCCAGATCAGTTCTATTATTAAATTAAATTCATCGTAGAAAATAACCATATTTTATATTTATTTAGTTTTATAAAATTTTCCCTACGATATTTTGATAAATTTGTCCAAATTCAAACAAATTTAACTAAGAACAAACCCAAGTACATTCAAATTTGGAACTGAGGTATACTGAATAGCTACCACTAAAGGAGAAGCATTTTCGAGGTGGAAAACTTGTTCATAGAAGAGAACTGCCCCTGGAAACTTGCTTCCACTTTGTTCACTTGGACGGTGCAAGCTTTTGCTTCGCTCTAAGAGCATCTTCATTAGATTAAGAATAAGTGATCCAATTTTCGTACAATCAGGAATAAAAGAGATTAAAGGCAAAATCAAGCTTCAACACATCGTCTTTTCAATCCCCTTTCTCTATATTTTTTCCTCAATTGAGAAAATCACCACCTCAATCCCTCAAAGAAAAAGAGAAGAAGCGACATTTTTCTTAATCCCCTTTCTCTATTCCTCTCTCACTAACCTCCGGAACCAATCGGCTCGGTTTTAATTTAAGGCAACATTGCGATCCACATGCCCGCTCCTAGAGAGCGGTCCCCGCTTCCACCATCGCTAGTCCTCCTCCCTTCCCCCTCCGGCATCTCGCTTTAATAAGTTTTCGAGTAGATCAAATCCTTTAGGGTTAGAGTCTCTGCTCAAGTTTCTTGTATTGAGGTTTTATCTCCTCCTCCTTCCCGGCGACGACGAGGGGGCATGGTGGATTCGTTTTCTCCATAGCGGCTATGTTGAAGATGAGGGCGATAACTACAGAGTCAGCAACTTCCTCGGCATAACGATATGGAGACTTAGTTTTTCAAACGGCGACGTCAAGGTGGAGATGATGTCGCCACAATAGAATAATTTTCTCCAGTCTCTTCTCTGTTTTGTTGTGCTTAGATCTAACCACGATAAAATACTAGGAAGAATAAGTTTCAGATTAGTCTTTCTTATTCTTGGGTGGCAGCAAGAAAAAGAAGGAAGACACATGAAAGAAGAAGTTTCTCAACTCCACGTGCAGGAATGATGGTCGTCGTTCGTTGGGCATATGTTCTCAGGCCTTTTACCGAGTGTTTGCTTGTGCGGTCATCTATACGAATCGTCATACACGTTTGGATTTGAGATTTGGAGCTATCAAAGCGTGGGTACAATATAAATGGAGATCATTTTTTATATACGTAGCGCATTCCATTCCAGAGTGCTTGTGACATAATGATGTACTCAACTATAATCTAATATAACACTTCTTTTCGTAAAAAAAATCCATCGGCTCGGGCTGCCGTTGCACTGTCTCACCGTGCCCTTGCGCAGCCCAGCTCACTGCGAGCCACCCGCCGTTGCTGCGCCACGCCCCACATCAAGTGGGCCACCGCCACTGCGCGCGCCCGCTGAGCTCGTCCTCCTTCTCGCCTGTGCCCCATGTTGGGCGAGTTGGCGCACAAAATGTCAACGGGGAATTCCCCGTCGGGGGTTACTGCCCCATCCCGTCCCCGCGGGGGCAAATTTCACCCGTCCTCGTCCCCGTGAAGGCTCACGGGGAGCACTTCTTCCCCATCCCCGTTCCCGCTCGGGGATTTAATCCCCGCGGGGATCCCCATCCCCGCATCAGCCTGGAGGTTCTCGCCGGCGATGATGGTGAGGTTGGTGATGATGGGCTTGGAGTTGAAGGTGAGCTCCCCGAGCGCGGTCCGGTACTGGCCGAGCAGCTCGTCGACCAGCGCTTGCTCGGCGACGCTGGTGGCGCCATTGGAGGAAGCGGCGGCGGCTGCGCGAGGCGCGGCTTCTTGGTGCCACTGGGGTCGGGGCCCACGGTGGATCTGCGGGCGGAGGCGGAGGCGGAGGCTTCCATGGGGACCATGGAGGCGGAGGCGCGCATGACCGGCGGGTGGGCCGTGGGTGGGCGACAAGCTAGGGTTTGGGGTGCATGGGAGAGGGAGAGAGCGGGAGAGCTAGGGTTTGCGAGGCGGGTCGCATACTCGAAGCGGCTGGGGTCTGGGGATCGGGGGGAATGGATCGGGGCGTCAGCGAGGGAGAGGGCAAGTGACGAGTGAGGAGGAGGCAGAAGCGGCGGCTTGGCTCGGTCGATGGCAGACCATGCATGCATCATCGCGCCCCACGCCCAGCAAGAAGTCAGCCGGCCCACTCTGCTGACGACGACGGGCACCATGCCTACGCCTTCGCCAAGAGATAGCTAGCCCACCAGCTAAGCAAGCAACAGCCTCCTTAGTGCACATTTTGGGTCCCCGTGGTGAACGGGGATGGGGGCATGCATACCATCCCGTCCCCGTCATCCCCGATGGGGATGATTTTTTCCATTTAATTTCTCATAGGGAGAAAATTTATACCATCCGACATCTTTAGTTGCCGCCGCCACTGCCCACACCGCTGAGTCTCTCCCACTGCTGCTCCATTCGCGGGAGTGCCCGCTTGCGGTGTATACACGAGAAATGAGATGAGAGAGAAAGGAAGAAGGGAGAAAAAGGAGATTTAGCCCGTGTTTAATTGGTGAAAAGTTGAAAATTTGGCTACGGTAGCAATTTCGTTTTTATTTGACAATTAATGTTCAATCATGGACTAATTAGGCTCAAAACGTTCGTCTCGCAATTTCCAACCAAACTGTGTAATTAGTTTTTTTTCATCTACATTTAATGTTCCATACACTTATCGTAAGATTCGATGTGATAGATATTATAACACTTTTTGAAAACTTTTCGCGAACCAAACAAGTGCCTTATCTAGCATGTCAGGCTCACGTACAAGGGATGATATTTAGCTTGTTGGTCTGCAGGAAAAAGTCGTTGCTGCAGCCTGCTGCTGCCACTACAGAGATTTGAAAGAGGAAAAAAGCTACAGCTGCAGCAGCAATGGTTTTTTTTTTCAGCAGCCGAACAATCCAATTTTTATCAATTTTCTGGAGCACATATCCCCTATATACATAGTAATCCAGTTTTCTCAATCGCTATACTTGATTTTAGGAGAAATGGGAAAGAGGATCTAGTGAAGATACTCTGACGTCATTAGAAGAAGGCTAAGATTGTAAGGGAGGGAAGCCGGACAAAAAATCCTAAACAATAGGGGCAAAACCCTTATAACCACTTCTGCAACTTGGTTATGGATCACTGAACATAACAACACGATTTTAAACGAGAACCGACAAATCCACACAACTATATGGTTTTTTAGCAGACTAAAAAAACAGGACAACAGGTTGGTACAGTCCCTTCAACTCTTCTAAATCAGTACAAGTTTGGCAGACCTTCTGCCGACTGATTAGAAAAAAGTTAGTTTTGCAAGATGTTGACCTAGCGTCAATCTTGTTATATACATGATAGAAAAAATGTAAAGAACATGTGATGCTTCAACTCTTCTATAAATCACTACAAGTTCGGCAGATCTTTTGCTGACCGCTTAGAAAAAAGTTATACAGGGGCCGTTTGGTATGGCTCCCGGGACAGCTCCTGAAGCTGTTTTTTGCTTCGAGTGCCAAACGAGTCAGATGGAACCAGCTCCAACAAAAGAGCCGCGTGATTTGCGCTCTCACACGCCAGGCACGTCGTCGGTTGGAGCCAAAAATTGAGCTTCCACCGGCTCCTTGTCAGGAGCGCATGGGCCCATGGCGTATTTGGCCGTGGATGCCCCTGTCTTCTTCTATGCGCGCGGGCACGGAGCAACGCCGGCCTGGGGAGGAGCAGAGGCGGCGTGGCATTGGCCTTCGCGGCCACGGGCGCATGTGCCACGCCGACCGTGCGTGCTCGAGCTCCCTTGGCCAGCCGCACGTGCTCGGGCTACTCCGACGAGCTGCCACTCGTGGCTCGGTCCTCAGTCTCTTGCGGCGCGGGGAGGTGGAGGCGTGGGGAAGAGGAACAGGAGGCCACGGGACAGAGGAACGAGAGGATAAGGTAGAGAGTAGCGAGAGGATAAGGCGGGCGTCAGGCGGGTCTGCATGCATTGCCGCATTGGTGATAAGGTATACAGAGAATAAATAAAGAGAAATAAAAGGAGAGAAAAAAAAAAAAAGAAAAAAAGAAAAAGAAGGGTATTGTGGACATTTTCTCCTTTTCAACAACCGGGAGAAGTTGTTTTGTCAAACGGTCAAAAAATTGTTTTAGCTCATCAAGTGAATCTGCTCTCCTGATAAAGCTATAACTGAAGCTGTTTTGACTGGAGCCGAAGCTCTACCAAATGGGCCCATAGTGATGTTGACCTAGCCTTAAATTGATTGGTCCTTGGAACGGCCAAATATTTGCTACATACAGACACGGGCTCATCCAGAATATACGAAAGAAAATGTGTGGACGATAGCCATCAAGTAACAAAAACGTGTCAATTGAGAAGAAAAACTCAATTCCGTGGCTGTAAAAGCATGCAACTACTAACTTTGTACCGTACATCTTATTCAAGGACAAGGGACTAACGCCCCGTTTGCGTGCCCTTAAACCCGACTTGATCCGCTTCTTTTTCATCCGTAACAGTATTTTTCTTTCACAAATTTCTCTAAACCATCCAAATTCCTCCAGAATTCCTCCAAACGAACAGGCCCTAACATTTTTCTTCATCCCGGGTAGCTTGATCTCGATAACAAGTCTGATCAACGAGAAACGAAAAAAGAGTCAGGAAATACAACCTACACTGTTGCTTTTCAGTTTTACCGTGCATATAAAATCTGTTCAACACACAATTAGACCTTGTTTGATGCACATGTATTCATCTCAATCTACATATGTTGAAGTAGATTGAGGTGGATACACGTGCATTAAACAAGGCCTTAAGCAATCTGCATATACCACTACTACAGGATGGCATTGTTGTCCCGGACGGTAACGGCCTTTAGTCCCGGTTACCGCGCCGGGACAACGATCCCAGGACTAAAGGTGGAACCTTCAGTCCCGGGTCATCGAGCCGGGACTAAAGAGGGACCTTTAGTCCCAGTTGGTGTTACCAACCGAGACTAAAGACCCTCCAGCCGAGCAAACATAGCCGCACCCTTTAGTCCCGGTTGGTAACCCCAACCGGGACTAAAGTTTTTTTTTCCTTTTTTTTTCTATTTCTATTTTCCTTTTTTTTCTATTTTCACGCTGCTACCAGATTTTTTTTGTTTCTATTTCTATTTTCTTTTTCCCTATTTTTAATTGATGATTCGTTTTAGTTTTTGAATACGCATTCTACGCTGCTAGAATATACGTACGTTTATAATGTTCAACATTTTGTATAAATTATAGTACGAAGGACCTTTAGTCAAGGATCATCGCGAGTACAATCTGTTTCAAGTTCGTCTTTGCTTGTTCGAGAGTCAGCTTTTAAGTTAGCTTTCACTCTTCCGAGCAAGCGAGGTGGTGCTAATAGGTGGAAATACAAATTTCACATATTGCGTGCTTTTCGAGGCTCTTAACGCCTGGACTAAAAGATCTTTAGTCCCTAAAATACCAGCCGGGACTAAAGGTATACAAGTCCCGGCTCGTAATACCAGGGACTAATTGATTTGATGTATTCATATATCGGACCAGCCGGACTAAAGGTCTTCATATGTCGACAATAAATGCAGATTAATGTGGACTAAAGCTCGTAAATGCAAGCGTGTACAAGTAAAGCACCATCAAGTACGTCTTTGTTTCTTATTACTACTTTAGTCCCGGTTGGAGTTTCAATTCCTACATACAAATGTAAGCACGACAATCGGGACTAAAAGCTTGAAACATGCATATGGGTCCCGGTTGGAGTTTCAAGTTCTAAGCTTTAGTCCCGACTGAAGTTTCAAGCTCTAAGCATTCTAGTACAAGTAAAACCTAATAAATGCAACCAGGACTAAAACTTAGAGCTTTAGAGCTTAGAGCTTATAGCACGGCAATAATGAACCGGACCTTTTAGTCGGTTCAAAAGACCGTGTTTCAAGCGGGCAACCGACTAAAGGTCCTTTTCTAGTCCCGACGTAGCCTCCAAATGGAAGTAGACTTTTACTCCCGGTTGGAGGGACCAACCAGAGTAAAGTTAACCTTTAGTCTCGGTTGGTAGCTCCAACCGGACTAAAGGTCCCCTATGAACCCGCCGCAGAGCTTGGGCGAACCTTTAGTCCCGGTTGGTATTACCAACCGAACCTTTAGTTCCGGGGACAAAAAAATGTTGAGGCTAATGCTAAATTGGAACATCGTTCTAAAATCTGTTCTCTAGTAGTGTACACGCATCGCGACATCGAAATATCTCATTCTACTCTTCGTATTTTTTTTGCTTTATTCATTGGCGGTGATTTTACGATAGAATGGGCGATGGCGAAGTTGTTTCCTCGTCGATGGCGATTCTCGTGGACGAACTTCGCTGCTATCGAATAAACAAGAGATCGAGGAGTCCGGAATGAGATCGCTTCTTCAACATTTTGTAATCAACACCGTCATTCTGCGATCCAACGACCTTAGTCTAAGCACTCGGTTGTCGTGTTCCTCGCTACATGGGCCTTGGCCCAAGAATAACACCGCCACTCCCCGTGTTTGGCGGCGTCTTTTCCTTTTTTGGCGCGAAATCTCGCGTGCTTTCCCGCTTAGCGAAGGTGAAGCGTCGGTCGTCGGCGTCGGCGTCGACCATCGGCTTTCTTGCAAAGCAAGCGGCGTCAGGGCCGGCGATCGGTGCTGCACAGTGTTGTCATGCCGGAAATATGTTTGCGAGTTTGCACCGCTTCTCTCCTCTCCACGTGTGTTTGATTGCATCGCTTTTCTTCTAATTTATTTGCTATCCTCTACTACCTCGACTTATGTTGGAATTGATTAAAGAAGAAATGTCAACTTGCTTTCGAATATATATGAGATGGAAGAAAAGAGGTGTATGACCCATGCCTGCTTTCTTTCTCCCCATGCGTTCGGACACATTTCATTGCTTATTGAATATTTCGTGTATATAGGGATGAGTTTTCTTCAAATTTCGCACCTCAAGTTGGCATGGAATTCAACAGCTACACATGAGGCTTCGTTGTTTTGGGTCAACTATGGTGGTCAAAAAGGTTTTGAGGTTAGAAAAGATACTCAAACAAAAGAAAATCAGATGGAAAGATTAGGTCGTGCAGATTTGTTTGTGCGAATGAGAGGGTCATAGATTGAAAGATAAAAGAGATCATTTAATAAAGTCTCCGAGAGCTAAAACTAGAACCCATTGTGAAGTTCGCATGGGTCTCGTATTAGACTAGAAAGGAAATTATAAAGTCACCGAGGTGATTTTGGAACACAATCACACCCTTCATTTGCTACAAACCTCATATTTGTTGGTGTCTCAAAGAAAAATTTCAGAGCTACAAGGTTTTGAAATTGAGATGGTGACGATGCAGAATTGGACCCAAAGCTCACATAAGTTGGCTTCTATCCAAGTTGGTGGCTCAAATCATCTCGAGCTCTTCTCGAGACCACAAGAACTATTTAATAAATGCGCCAACGTGAGATGGCATATGGTCAAAACTTAAGCATGCTCATGTATTTTCAAGAAAAATTGCGAGAACCCAAATCATTCCAATATGCATTGCAAATGGACCGAGAAGAACAAATAGCTAACATTTTCTGGGTTGATGCTAAAATGCTCACTGACTATGCATATTTTGGTGATGTTGTTAGTTTTGATACTACTTTTGGAACAAACAGGGAGAGTAGGCCTTTTGAAATATTTGTTGGGTTCAATCATTTTAGAGAAACTGTGATTTTTGGTGCTGTTCTCATGTACGATGAGACATTTGAGTCCTTCAAATGGCTATTTGAGACCTTTCTAAAAGCACATAATGGCAAGCAACCAAAAATAATCTATACCGATCAAGATCAACAAATGGGAAAAGTTTAAAGAGGTCTTTTTCTTGGCATGGTCTATGCACTTTTCACATTATGCGTAGCTCATTTGCAAGCATCTTGCTTGAACGTGATTTATGAAGAATCTGATACTCCTCCAAAAAGAAAGAATGAAGACAATAAGGAAGAACCAAGTATTCTCACAGATTTTAGTGCATGTATGTATGATTATGAAGATGAAGAAACATTTCAAGAAGCATTTAACACTATGAGGACAAAGGCCAGCAAGCAAACTTGGTTAGATAGTATATATAAGGTAAGAGAAAAGTGGGCTGCATGTTATATGACTAATGTGTACACATTAGGAATGAGGAGTACACAATTGAGTGAGAGTCTAAACAGTGACTTGAAGAGACATTTCAAATCAGAATTTGATATCATTCGATTCCTTAAGCATTTTGAAAGGGTTGTGGAATTTAAAAGAAATAATGAATTGCATGCTGAATTTGAATCAAGAAAGAAATTACCAAGACTCAAAATGAGGACACCTATGTTACTCTAAGCTAGTAAGATGTACACATCAATTATTTTTGAAGCTTTCCAATCTGAATATGAGAGGTCCATGGCAGCATGCACCACGTCATTGGAAGGCAATAATGAATATGTTGTAGCAGTTGGGAGTCTTGATGAAAATTGTATCCTTGAGAAGGAGTACAAAGTTACTGGTGATCCTGCAGACCAAACAAGCACATGCAACTGTGGGCAGTTCAATAGAATCGGAATATTGTGTGCTCATGCTTTAAAAGTTCTTGATTTAATGAACATCAAGTTAATCACGAAACAATATATACTGAAGCGTTGGACTCGAGAAGCACGTAGTGGGGCTGTACAAGACAACCAAGGCCGAAACATAATAGAGGATCCAAAATTAGATGCTATGTTTTGCTACAAAAATATGACTCGCAAATTCCTCAATTTGGCACACCAAGCTGCAAGTCATCCACGGTGCGTCCTATTAGTCAACGAGGCACTTGACATGGTTAGCAAGCAAGTCGAAGAAGAAATCATGAGTCTTCCTAGTGTAGTGAATCCAACCAATGTTCCCACAAATGATTCTCCCCCAATTGATTTGTTGAGTACAGCAAGCCTAAAGAAAAAGCACGTGGAAACTAAAACCTCAAAGCGCAAAAAAGCTTGGTTTGAAAAGATGCGCAGAGTTGCAAAGAAAAAGGAAAATGGTCCAAAGGTATGTGGTAACACAAAATATATCAGATTTCCTAATACTGTGTTTAATGGGCACATGTTCAGTTTTATTTCTTTTATTTGAAGGAACAAGAAACTGCAAAGAAGGGAGGTAAGAAAAAAAGAAAAAGAAGATGCGAGACAAGAAACAACATCAATACAAGACAACGCAAAGAAGACAAAATATTTATCCTAGTACTTCTTTGCCCATGAATGAAATGCTCGAACCATACATGACCATCAATACCTTCTCTCAGATATTGAAGATGATATTTTAATCTAATACACCATTTTTCTAAACCGTACATGGCCATCAATACATTCCCCATTTGTTTTTTTGAATCTTTTATTTTGCAGGGGGCAATCATAGATGATGTTATTGCTGACTTCTAGTAGTTTAGGAGAATAGCTTTTGGAAAATAGCCTCCTGAAACATAGATTGTTTAGGAGAATAGCTTTTGGAATAGCCTCCTGAAACATTTCTGCATCTCTGAACATTCTAGAGCTTGCATCTCTAAGCTAATGCATTCATTTTGTGCATCATTGAACTTGCAACAATCAATTACTTTTTCTTGAATTATAGGACAATTTACAATACAATGGCAATCTATACAATTTGCATGATTTTTTGTGCTTTCGATACAATCACAAGTTACATAGTAGTCAACACAAGGTGCTTAGCTACATTCCAAAAGTGATCGTGCAAAATCACTCAAAAGTGATCAGGCAAAATCTCACGGACAAAGTGAGAGACTGGAGCATCCAATACCAATCGCCCAGCCCTCTCTGGATCGCCCAAGGGCCTTTGTCTCTGCCTTGTTCCGGAATACTTGGTAGAAGTAGTAGTAGACACCGATAGTAACACAAAAATTCAGGCTAAATCACCGGCAAGGATCGTGCAAAATCACTCAAAAATTCAGACAAGGAAGGGAAAGAGGAAGGATGCGGACCGGTACAAACTAGCGAAAAACGCCCGTCCTTGAACGCCATGCCGACCTCGATTTCCATCGCTAAACAAGGCGTTCCTATATGCCAACAAAAACCTCAAAATTTCAGCAACCGAGAAATCCAGGGCGAAGGTCGGCAATGAGGCGTCGTCGTACGTCGATGTGGAGCGGGTAGATAAGGAGTCAGGCGATGATCCGCCGCGCGCACCGGCGAGGTCGTTGATCAGCGCTGGTCGACATCTCCGCCCGCTGTAGGGAGACCAAAACGAGGATGGCACGTCGTCGGGAGACATCGCGGCGGCGCAGCTCGACTAGAACTACGAAGACGATGGCGTCGATTTTTCTTTATTCACGGGGCTCTCTCAGCAACAACAGTGTCTGTGTGGGCTGTGATGGGCCTTTCCATTGTGCAGCCCATGTCACTTTGGTGTGTGTGTCGTCGGATCGGCAACGAATGGCACGGATGTGCACGATTGCAGTGCCGTGCGTTAGGTGATCTCGTTCCGGAGTCTGACATCGGGCAGCTCAAGTATCTCCAGGCCATCGTGAAGGAGACGTTCCGCCTCCACCCTCCGGCGCCATTGCTGCTGCCCCGCCAAGCCGAAACGACGACGGAGATCAGAGGCTACACGGTGCCAAAGGGCACGCGCGTCCTGGTGAACGTGTGGGCGATCGGGCAGGACCGTGAGCTGTGGGCCGAGCCGGAGAAGTTCGTGCCGGAGAGGTTCCTGGAGAAGGAGATCGATTTCCGCGGCAGGGACTTCGAGCTCGTGCCGTTTGGGTCCGGCCGGAGGATATGCCCCGGGCTGCCGCTGGCTGCTCGCATGGTGCACCTGATGCTCTCGACCTTGCTGCACCGGTTTCAATAGAGGCTTTTGGCGGATGTGGAGAGGAATGGAGTGGACATGTCTGAGAATTTGGGGGTGACGCTGGGGATGTCTACGCCACTCCAGGCTATGGGCTCGTTCGGCCGGTGCTAAAAAAGCACGGTAGCCAGCTAAAAAACACTGTAGCTAACTGATTCCTCTCACATATTTCTCCAGATTCATCTCAACGAACGGGGACTATGGCTAAACCAATTTGAATTGTTGTCATATATAGGATGCACTGTTTTAAGGCACCATGTGTCCATGTTACCGATGGTTTTGTTGGGTGATTTAGTGGTTGATTTTTGGGAAACTCTGGTTGGGTGATTTAGGGGAAACTTTCGCTGGTAGCACTGTAATATGTAGACCGCAGAATCTCAGAGTTCTATGTCATGTTCAGCTCTAAACCTGTAATGACATGTTCCTCTTCCTGTTAGGTTATGAACATGATAAACCACATGATCAACTAGTCCAATAACATGAACACCTAAGCAGCACGCCACGCTTTAAGCCCGGAGCCCCGGACTGCCACGTCTCGGATCAACGCCACCGGACCGTTGGCTTCGCTGAAAAAACAAGTCGAAACACTGTTTCGGCTGATTTGTTGTAAGAGAAAAATACTGTTTCGACTAGAAAAATAAGTTGAAAAATACGGATTAGAAGACAAGCGACTAATCCATCTCAGCGGCAGAGTTGCTGTCGCGTAACGCGTGCGTGCATGGCTGGTGCCGTGCGTGGTGCCACCGGCTGCCCGGCTCGATCCGCTCTTGGAGGAGAGACGACGCTGACTGCTCTCTGCTCAAACCCAGAAGCAGTGCACGACGGCACAAGCGAAGGCGCACGGCAGCCGAGCAGCGCATAGGTGTGGGTGTGGAAGCGTGGCTGGCCCGAAGTAGCGCTGTTGCCACGGCCATGCGTATACATACGTATATACAGCAATGGACCAGCTAAAAAATCACAAAGAAAACAACGAAATCATTCCTTGCACCGTCTGATGCGAAGAAGAATTGGGGCTCGGACACCTTAGAATTCTGTTAGCCTGTCTCAACACGAGACCCAGTGAAGAACCTAAATCTAAAATATGTCTTAATATAATATATATAGTCTTCAACATAGTATCTATATGGAAGACCTATTTTAGGTGCTAGGTAACTTAAATCTGAGTATCCTCTCTACTGAAGACTCATTTGCAGAAATGGTTGTCTTTTGGGTCTTGTTGTTGGAGAAGACAAAAATAAATATTAAACATTTTACCTATAACGCTATCAAAGAATAAGTCTTGCATTTTACGCCGCGGTTGTTGGAGACAGTGTTCCACGATGCGGAGCTGCCCAAATAAAAAATCTCTTTCAGCCAAAAAAGTGAATATGGACGTGTAGGTTGACGGGCAGTCCGTACCGGCTCGCTGTTTCTTTCCTGAAAAAGAAGAAGGTGATAAGCTCTAGCCCCAAATGACAGTGCTCAACAGTTATAATGAATAAACTAATCATCGGCCGATCCCACGCGCAAGCCATTGCGATTCCCAATTCCTTGGCGATTAACGCAACGCAACACAACACACGAAGAAACCCGCGGATAAACGGAACGAACAAAACGATTCCCCTCCCATACGATTCCCTCCTCGATCCCGTCACGTCTCCTGAAACGCACGCCCTCCCTTCCCTGCTGCCCCCTTGCCTTCCCTGTCGCCTCCTCGTCTGCTTTCTCCCCCTCGCGCAATTTCCCCAGCCCGCACCCCATCCCAACTCCGGCGGCGCTGCAGTCCACCGCAAGTCACCTCCTCACGCGAAGCCTCCAGCCCTCGCCGCTCCGCGCTTCTCCCCCCTGCCCACAACACCGCCCCCCCCCCTCGCGCTTGCGCCCCGCCGATCGCCGGCGCTCCTCAGGTCGGTGTAAGCGCCTTTCTCCTCTTTGCGTGGATTTTATTTTCTGGCGATTGTGTGGATAGATAGATTGACGGGACGAGTTCGATTTGATTCCGGCGTTTTGGCGTCAATTAGCTGACAACCTTGGTAGTTGAACCGGTCATGCGTTGTGGGGATGGTTTAGACGTTGGTGGTGTGGGTAGAGAGTACGGATTTTGCTGATAGTTAGCTCAACCTATTGGTTAGCTGCTGAAGCGTGGGGGTCTAGCCGTGTAGGGCATCGAGCTGCTTTTGCTGAAGCACGCCCTTGATATGTGAAGGGAGCAGGTGTTATACAATTACGTTTTGGCCATTTTGGTCTTAGTGAGGAGTTGATTGATTAATCCATTGATGCAAAGAACTTGAGGGTAGTTCAGCTTCGGCTGCAAACCTGCAACTATTGCTGCTTGGTGCTAGATGTGGTAAGCTGGTAGAAATTTAGTTCTTGGCATAGCAGAATTTCGTTTTGTTCAGGAATGATAGCTACTCATATGTTTGATTTCGCTTTGATGCCTTCCAAATGTACTTGTTTAAGCTTGCCCAGGACTTAATTTTGGATTTGCTTCTGCTCTAAATAGTAATTATTTTCCATTTTACATCACTTTTATTTAATTGACCGACTTTGTCTTAATTTGTGAGTTTTGGAGGAACTCTGGTTTCATTGTGCTGCTACTTCAATCGAGTATATGGTGGTATGCAAAATGTGAATATTTGTTTTTCCATATAGGTGTGTGTGTCTGGCATGGCAAGGGACCTATCTGCTGGCCCTGCCTTCTCTTTTCATGAATGATGTCCTTCCTTTCGAAGGACACTCATGCACAAACAATACTTAACTGGCCATGGAGAATCCAATCGCCATTATCAGCGCAGCTGCTTGTTGATATCCCACCTGAAATAGAGTTGTCCGACTACCGGAGGTTGCCAAGTTCTGGAAGTGAGAGCCCATCTGGACTTCTCCATGGCGAAGGTGTCAAGGAAGAACATATCCCTGATTTGGACATTTTCTTTGAAAGGCTTTACGAATATTTCTGTGCAAAAGGGCTCAGGTGTATCATTACCAAATGGATAATAGAGGTCCTTAATGTACTTTTTATGGTATGCTGTATCGGGTTCTTTTTCTTATTTGTTGATTGGGATAATCTTATTCATTTGAAATGCGGAGTGGAGGCACTTGAATCTGGGGAGAAACCATGTGATCTGATGAAGGTCATTAAGCATGACCCATTAGTTCCCTTCACGTTGCCCAAAATGATAATTGTTGGATCAATGGTCATAATGACAGCTTATGGACTTACCAACTTCCTCAAGTTCTTTGTACAGTTAAGAAGTACACTCAATGTTCGTCAGTTCTACTATGACAGGTAACTTTTCTGCTTATGTGCTTTTTTTTTTCCTTTTTAGCTCATAGCAATGATTTTGCCCTTATCCTGTTTACCTTCGTGCAGACTTAAGGTGAATGATCTTGAGATTCAGACTATATCATGGCCCAAAATAATTGAGAAGGTTGTCCTGCTCCAGAAATCTCAAAAACTTTGTGTTGTTAGGGATCTCTCAGAGCATGATATTATCATGAGAATCATGAGGAAAGAAAATTATTTGATAGGGATGGTCAATAAAGGCATTCTTTCATTTCCAATTCATTCTTGTGTGCCTGGGGCTGGCCCGACTGTTGGATCACATGAGCATGGAAGGAGAAACTATCTGATACTTCCAAAGGCCCTCGAATGGACCTTAAATTGGTGCATCTTTCAAAGTATGTTTGATAGGTAAGGAAGTCTGTGACTGCTTCCATTGGATCTTATTTCTTTCTTAATTTTTGTAAAATATTGTTGGCTAAAATGCTTTAGACTCTACATGACCAAGCTATGTGCTTGTTTTTACATGGTACTCTTTCTTTGGATATTAGCTTAGCCCAGAGCAACTAGGCCATTTATGGAAGAAAAGGGGAGCAACTAGGCATTAAGAAGGCATAAGCTGTTAAAGCTGCTGCTTCAGCACATAGCTGCATCGGAACTTTAGAAGTCTGGCATTAAGAAGGCATAAGCTGTTAAAGCTGCTGCTTCAGCACATAGCTGCATCGGAACTTTAGAAGTCTGAAATAAATCAGCCAACTGTCAATACCAATTTTTATTATTTTACTTATTTTAGTTAATACTGGAGGCACTTTGTATATATCAGAACTCCGTCATAACATGAACATAGTGTGTATACTGGCATAGCAGTTTCTAAGTTCTAAAACAATCTGTACTAGCATTTTCTAGGTGACCAGATGTATTGTGTCATTTACTTTGTTAGCTTAAATAACCTATCCATATAGAACGGATCATTTATGATGAATCCTAGTCCTCACGTCCATCAGAAGCTCATCCAACATATCATGTACAGGCTAGAATCTAGACTCCCCAACTTCCAATGTATATACCAGATGGCTTTCTACCAAGCACTCATACATTGCTTCGGGATGGTTCAAATCATTGTGTTTACTAATAATTTGTTTTATTTCACTAGAGTTTGCTTCCTCTTCATTGAATTCTTTTACTAAACATTCATTCTCTTTTTTCAGTAAATTTTGTGTAAGGAAAGAGTTTTTGACAAGCCCAGATGTGTTGAAAAAGCGACTTATATTTGTTGGCATTGCAATGCTTATCCTATCACCCTGCCTTGTGATATTTCCATTGGTTTACGTCATTCTAAGGCATGCTGAAGAAATTTATAATCACCCCAGTACAGCATCATCTAGACGATGGTCAAACTTATCGAGGTGGATCTTTAGGGAGTATAATGAGGTAGCTTCTACTCAGACTCATCATTAGTTTTTCTTGTATTGCAGCTGATATCTAAATGAATCTTTGGGCTCTCCAGCTTTCCCTTTCTTAATTTTTGTGGCTAATCAATCTCATAGTCAGTATCTGCGAGTATTGTTTTACTGATCTAAAAGTGATTACAAACATTGCAGGTTGATCACTTCTTCAGACACAGAATGAACAACGGTGTTGTTCATTCTTTAAATTACTTGAAGCAATTTCCAACCCCACTGGTTTCCATCATAGCTAAATTTGTATCTTTTGTTTCTGGTGGCTTGGCTGGTGCTCTAATAATCATTGGATTTGTGGGTGAATCTATTCTTGAAGGACATGTAAGCCCTACTTTTTGTATTGTTTCTTTGTCTAAATTGCAAATACCTGCTATAAGTCACTTCAAGATGCAAATACCTCCTTGGTAGAATAGCTGTGTTTATCCTACAAGTATAGTCCCAATGAAGTCTTACTTTATGGGATCCACATATTTGCCTTGATGTGAGCTCAGAGTGTTCCATATATAGTTGGTCACCATAGGAAGGAGAGGGTGGTGTGGGAGGGTTTGACGACATATTAGGTTACCACATTTGATTCAGTGGACTTGAGTACATAGTTTTAATCATCATCACCCCCCAATCTTTTCATGCTGGCAACAAGTGCCAAACACGTGAGGTCACAACTTGCATCAAGTGAGAATTATGCATATGGATTAGATCTGTGGGGGTGGTAAATGCAACTATTTTATGGCATATTTGCAACTTGAAATAACTTCTAGGGATCTTTGCAACTTGATGTGACTTGTATGGGGATATTAGCATTTTCTTTTGTATTTTTGTAGTACATGTATCTTATTCACTTTGTAGAATCTTATATGTTATGTCTGTAGATTTTTGGAAGAAATCTTCTCTGGTATACTATTGTTTTTGGAACAATAGCAGCTATAAGTCGAAAAGTAGTGGCCGATGAGCTTCAAGTTATTGACCCAGAAGGGGCCATGTGCCTCACTGTTCACCAAACACATTACATGCCAAAGCGGTGGCGTGGTAAAGAGAACAGCGAACTTGTCCGGAGAGAATTTGAGACATTATTTCAGGTAACTAATTGACCTCTAGTTACAGTTCATTTAAGATAGCTTAGCTGGCTCAGAATTGTTACCAACTGGCCAAGGTATTAAAAGATCTTCACGTGCAAGCCATACCATCTAGCTTTAAAATGAGTGTTCTAAACTTCCAATCCATCCATTTTCTTTGTATTCATTGACCCCTGTTAGCAACCTGGTACTGGATTGCAGAGAATAGGAGGAAATCAGAGGAGGAAGCAGTAGAATCTTAGGGTATCGAGAGGAATAAGAGGAACACTAAGAGGGGAGAGTTCTAGGAAAGGAGATAACCTGTTGGTTAATTGGTTCTGTAATGCTTGATGCCCTTCTCGCTGCTGACCCTTGGCATATGTAATCTCCCATCCAATGTCTGGACTGGGCTCGAGGTCCATGGCCCATATGACTGTCCCAACCATGGCTAGTTCCTAACATTCCCTTCTCCTTAAGATTCGGCTTGCCCCCAAGCCGATAGAGAAGGATGGAACCACCGGGATCCCAAGGAAACTGGACGATCCTGTGTTTCTTCAATTCCTTCATGGAAAGGTGTCTGCCAGCATTTTTGTGTAGAGCAGGTGGAGCTGCAGGATTCTTCACAGTTGGTTTAGACTTTGCAGACTTGGAGGATAGGATATCAAGAATGAGATCATCAAGACTCTCATCAATACGATAGAATCCTTTCATCATTTGACTAAAGCCTACTAAACATTGTTCAGATGCTTCCTTCAGATATATGACAATAAGAGCTGCAGCAAGCTGGACTCTCCATTCCAAGAGTAAGAGCTCGCTTCACCACTTCATGATGAAAAAGGGGCACTGCCCATTCTCTGATGCACCTACAAGCCTCAGTTGTATCACCATTTCTGATGTATTGTTGTAGTAGATCAGCAATCCTCTTCTTCACCTCTTCTATTGTGATGTGAGTTGAACTACCCCATTGTCGCTCAATTAACTCTGCGTGGTGTGGTGCTGAAAGATAGCTGTGCTCTGCAATTTGTACAAGACTGACCAGCTGACGATGCCCGGAAGTTGTGCTCCAAAAATTGATGCAGACCCCACACTGCTTCATGTGAACCCAACATGTGTTGTTGATCAGTGAAACTACACTTGACTGAAGCAACCTCAGACTGGATACGGCTGAAATAGAAGCAAACTAAATAGGAGACAGCAACTCATAAGATGACCACGGTAGTTGCGTCTTTCCATGAACAACACCCTACAGTTCTGTTGTCTCTAGCAGTAGATATGGACAAGTCTTGGCCTTCATAGCAGTTCTGTTGGACGTGCTGTAGTAATAGATATCCTTGGACTTGTTCTGTTGCATTGCTTTTGGATTGATTACACAGCTGAGAAATAAAAGCTTCACTTGTTGACCCATTGGTGTCCCAGACCAAAGCTTAACCCAAAGACACCACAAAGCTATATCATGGAATTCACACTCCCCAACAGATAACAACCAAGGATGGATGGTTATGCATAACTCACCATATAAGCAACATTGTATTGAGCCTGTACCATCCAAAGCAGCAAAGAAATCAACCTCAGTGATGCATAGCTGACCCAAGAAGATCACCTCTCCAATTACTTTTCCACAGTTCTTCAGGACAACATGATAATATCTGAAAGAAGGCCATGGAAGCTCTAGGTGCATAGCTGAACAGCGGCATGTGCACCAGTTGCTAGCAGCCTGGAAGAACTTAGTACGGAGAACGAGACACCACTCCAAGTGAACAACGAACAAACTCCAGGAATAATGGATCTGCTCTATACCTCTTGTATCCCAATCCTGTGACACCAGAGCTATATAACTATAAAAAAATGGCCAAGGAATTGGTCTGAGTTGGACTCCAAAACTCTGGAACACAACCTGCAGAGATAATGATCTAGGTGGAGGCCATGGTGACCACAGGTCCACAACCTTTTCCAAGCCATGCTTGAGTATGTATCGCTGATGAATCTGAGGTGGCCACGGGATCACCGAACTCAACTCAGTCATTTGCTGAAATTCCAGATGTACCTCACGCACAGTGGCATTGCAATCCAACAACAAAACACCCAGCACAGGAGTAGAGGCAAACATGGTAATGCACCTGCTGAATGGCCCACCGAGCAGCTCAGACAGGCTTGCAGGAGCCATCGTTGCAACCGACACCGGGGTAACCAGCTTGGAAGTGACATCCATGGCAAGCTTGAGGCCGTTGCACGGTGGCCGTGATTCCTTGTCAGTAGCACGAGCATGGAGCACCACGGCAGACATCAAAGCAGCATACTGAGAGAACACTGGTGCTTGCTCGCTTGCTGTTGTAGTTCGTTGACGGTGCGACATTTCATCGAACACCCCTTGGGCACGAATGGAGATGGTGGCAGGCTTACTCAAGGCTGCGACCCAGACCTTTGGTGGCTCATCCCATGGAGTAGGGGCTGGTGACGACGTTACCATGGTGGGAGGCGTCGTGGACGACGAACGCGGGCGTCGGGGAAAAGGTTGCAGACCGCGTCCCACCGCCTTGTCGAACAGCTAGTAGAGCCGATGCCGCTCCTCGACAGGCATGGAGGCGATGTCCATGCAGACGCGGACGCCGACCGCACCATGCGAGACGCCAGAGCAGATGCCTCCGCTGCTCGTTAGTCGCATGCCGAGCATGCACGCATAGCCGAGGCAGACGCGGAGGAGCAGGCCGCGGTCCCCGAAGCCGAGGCGGGCACGGAGGAGCTCGTCGCGGTCGGCGGAGCCGAGGCGGACGCGGAGATGAGCGAGACGAGGTCGTCCTGGAGAAGCTAGTACCGGAGTGACAGCCTGGGCGCTCCCGGGCGAAGAGCGAGGGCACGTCGACGGCAGAAATGCGCGGCGAAAGAGGAGCGGCGCTGGAAGCTGCGCTGGAACAAGCGTCGGACCCCTGCTAAGCTTGGCCGCCGAGAAGGTGTGCAGAGAGGTCGGTGGTGATGGGATCGACGATGGTGGGGTGGTCGATGACGGTGGTTAGGCGGCGAGGACTCTCCACGGCGTCGAGCGTGGCTTGGACCACCTCGGGGTGGGACTCGGTGGTGGAGGCAGCGTCCCCATCGTTGCTGTGGAACTCGGGGTCGAAGGCGGCATCGGGCGCAGGCGCGAAGGGAAGGGCGACGGAGTCGGTGGAGATGGCGTCGGACACGAGCTCGAGGGAGATGTCGACACCGTCAGCAGCGTCGGTGGCGGCCGACTCCTCCAGGATGTGGGCAGGCTGCTCGAACAGCCCACCCCAGTTGTCGGTGACGATGGATCGCGGCCCGCAGTGCTGCTCGTCGGAGTCGTCGCCTCCGTCGAAGAGGCCACCCCAGTTGTCGGCGACTACGTCGTCTCTGACGGCAGCGGACTGGGTCGGAACGGTGACGCCCCGGGAGGTCTCCCGCACGGCGTCCTGCTTGGCCCACCTCGCGTCGAACTTGTCGAATAGCTTGTGGAGTTTGTGGAGTTCGTCGAGGATGAGTTGGGTAGGAGAGATCTCGGAAGGGGGATTCATGGTGCTAGCAACCGAGAATTGACGGCTCTGGTACCAATTGTTAGCAACCTGGTACTGGACTGCAGAGAATAGGAGGAAATCAGAGGAGGAAGTATTAGAATCTTAGGGTATCGAGAGGAAGAAGAGGAACAGTAAGAGGGGAGAGTTCTAGGAAAGGAGATAACCTATTGGTTAATTGGTTCTGTAATGCTTGATGCCCTTCTCGCTGCTGACCCTTGGCATATGTAATCTCCCATCCAATGTCTGGACTGGGCTCAAGGCCCATGGCCCATATGACTGTCCCAACCATGGCTAGTTCCTAACAACCCCCTTTTGAAACTCCCCATGCCATAGCAGTACTAAAAGAAATATTCTCAACTCCTTTTCTACTATCTCCATTCAATTTTGCAATGCGTATTTTTATTGGAAAAAGTCAAACTTCCCATTTTTTTACCAATGATTATTCTAATTATATGGAAGTTCAGTGTTCAAAAATTATAAGACTAGATTCGTTCTTCAAAGTACTTTTAATGTGATGTTGATTTGGTAATAAGTGACTATAAAGAGATATTAACGCAAAATATCCTAAAGATTTTTTCAAATACAAAATACGCCTTAAAAAAAGAATGGAGGGGGTATTTTCTATCATTCTAACTTGAGCACTACTTCTAGTGGGGGAAATGGTAGTTTGGATCTTTGCTAGAAACTGTTTTGGGTAGCTATGTAGATTCATAGAAATCTGTCTATTGCATAGTTGCATTAAGATCTTGGTTCTACTTATACATTTTATGATGGGGTATAAGGCAATCAGCTTTGTGGTTTGCTGCTTCAATTATATGGCAATAAGAATTGACTTGACAATCTGTGTGTGCAGTATACTATAATTATGCTACTTGAAGAGATGGCCTCCATTTTCATCACTCCTTACTTGCTTATTTTTGAGCTACCAAAGGTAATATTCTGAACTAACTCAACATTGATTTTTATGTCATCCAAGTTTATTGACAGTTCTGAATTCTCATTATCCACAGCGAGTTGATGACATTCTGCGCTTCATCTCAGACTTCACAATTTATGTAGACGGAGTGGGAGATGTATGCAGGTCTTTGCTTCTGTTTCTGTTATTTTCTTAGCGCTTATTTTTGCTTGACCTTTGCAATACTTAACACGTTTATTTCTCTATGTTTACAATAGTCTGAGCTTGTTTGACTTCAAAAGACATGGAAATAGTAACTATGGGTCACCGTTCAATGCTCTTAAAGGTCTCAGGAGCTCCCAAGGGAAGATGGAGAAATCATTCTTAAGGTACATGCAATTTCAAATATTTCTTTTACTTTTTTACTAGGCATGTAGTGTGGTTTATCACAAGTGCATCGTAAGTGCTGTCAAGGATTGATTAGATGAATTGTAGTACTTCAATAGTTGTTTGCTCTGAAGTTGTGTGGCCAGCTTGCCTAGGCTAGGCAGCACCCTCAGGCGTCCGATTTTGTGAGCACCTGGGGCTGGATGGTGCTGTCTGGTCCGGGAAGCTAGCTGGGGCAGCAACCCAACAGGTGTACTTCTACTGTAGTGTCGTTGAATGCGATGCTTGCAAATTTATGTACCATTTGAGTGCCTTAGATTACTTAGATAGTTTGCTCCTGTAAAATGTGTACCATCAACATTAAGTCCCTGTTTGGAAACGGGGGTTTCAGGAAGTAAATCCTTTGAATTTAGTAGAAGTGTGAACTAATCTGGAAAATTATTAGAACATTCCCCCTACCCCCTCTTCCCAGGCCTTAATAGGGGATTTGGTGGAAAATGATGTTGCCTAGGCAAATGAAAACATCCAGTATTTCTAACTTTAATCGCTTGAAGGTACTAGTATATGAAGGCTTGCTTTTATCCTAAGTTTGGACAAGAGCACCCTTTTTACTGTCACACCTTTTGCCGTTACTGCCCTGTTGACACTATAGATGTAGCAGAATATAGGCACTGACAATCTTTTAGCACTGATCTGAAGATATTCCAGGCAAGAATCATTCTGCTTGGTCTGCTCTGTGTGCTATAGACGTAGTTCAGTAGTCTTATACAAGTAGTTCGAGGGGAAAAAAAGTAGTCTTATACAAGCACTGATCAACAGCTTTAGCGAGCACCATTCTATTAAGTCAACTCTGCATATTGTACTCTTCGATCACATGCCTGGGTTTGGCTGCTTCCATAGAGGCCTGTACTGCACTTTTGCAATTTTCTCCCCCTCTTCTTTGGGAGGTCAAGATCAGAATAGGTTACCTGTCCTTAGATTTTCAAAGTTCAACCAGATTTTCTTGTCATTGCAAAACCAGGAGCAGCAATATGAAGACTAAACGTCTTACATGATTGTTTTCAGTTTTCAGAGTGTCTATCCATCATGGGAGCCAAATGCTGATGGCAAACAATTCTTATCTAACCTCCAAAAGTTCAAAGAAAAGCAAATACGTCAACAAGCTCTTGCACAATATCAAGCAATGGAAGCTTCAGGCTTTGTGGCAGGCACTAGAGGTCAAAGGGATGATACCTTCCAACAACTCAATAGTGATATTCATGGCCATGCTGAGGCCACTTTGCCTCCTGTTTATAACTTGAACCCCTTGGGATTGCTGGACACAGACCAAAGAACTCATCCATATATCCTGGACTGGTATTACATGTGTCATCCACCACACTCGGATAGAGCTGAGGCCCCCCAATTTGAGCAAGCATTCCCTGAGACTGGTGTGAGCACAAGTCCACCAGCAAGGGAAACATCTGAAATTGAAGAAGTCGGAGAGTGGGATTACGAGTTGTACGAAAGGGTTCAAAGTCATCTGGGGGCATCCACATCAAGTGCTTTGTTCCGGAACACTCCAGTGAAGCACCATGGTACAGAAGATAACACTAACAGCAATTGGTGGGCACATGCCCCTGCATATCCTTCTGGTCCCGAGGGCAGCTTCATTGAGCCTCCAGAATTTGGAAATCGATACATGACACATCCTCATTCCAGTAATCACAGTGGCGATACATCAGAGGGAAGCACGGAGGATCTAGAGCAGAGCAATGGTAGAAGCAGCAGCGTGTGGAGGAGCCCTCAAGCTTTGTCCAAGACAAGATATATGGTCGACTCTGACATTGAGGAAGGGCTGAGCCTGCACTTTGCTGATGTCCATCAGAAGGATGAAGATGATAGACACCTGGTCATGGATCATCAAGATCCCACGCCAGCTGGTCTTCCAGTAAGAATAATACCTAGAAGCAGTGACCCTGTGTAAGCTGGTTAAACTCCTCAGGATTAGTTGATGCATGCATGTTAACGGTTGTAATTTGTCGTTTGAACCACATCAGAATCAAATGGTGCGTCTCGCCCATAAACTGTCAAAACAGCCATAGATTCTTTTGTACAGGTCAGTAACCTCCTGCTCTGTCCAGGGCGGGTATGATAGAAACATTCTTTTACAAGTTGGAAGGGTGTTTGGTAGCTGCAACATAAGTGCTGTAAAACTTCGGAAGTGTTCGTGACTTGGTTTAGGTCTTGCAAGTTGCAGCATTGAAATGCAGAACTTGAATTAGCTAGCAATTGCTATCCATTTTTTTCCTGGCTTAGCTTCTAGTGCGTCGTAGATCTACAGTTATGCAGACACGGACGCCGGGGATGATCGGCTGCAGATCCGGTGGGATCCGTTGCCGGAATCCTGTTGCCCTTGGCAGTTCGGCAGCAGGATGAGCGAAGCAATTCCTCTGCGCCTCTGTCATTCTGCCATGAAGTTTGCTGTTTTAGGGCACAGGAAGTCGTTGGCACGGTGATTCTGTTCTCTTAGAGCCAGACAAGGAGCTTCCAGCTTTAGCTTTCTTGTCGCTCTCGAGATCGTTGTCCTTACAAAACGAGGCCGTTTTGGTAGGTGTGAAAGTAGGTTTCGTACGCACGCAACTTCGCTGACACGAAAATCACTGCAGCGACCGAAAAAGTTACTGTTCTAGATGAAAAAAGAAGCAGATCAAACCATGGTGTCAGCCGAACGCAGCCTAGTCGATACCAAACTCTCGCAGCTATAGAAGCAAGCAGGCTGGAGCAGCAGGGCTCTGGAATTCCAGGGCAGACTGAGACCGGCGACACGTCGCACGAATGAAGGTGACCCTGATCAGCGGATTGCTACCAGTAAGTCGGTAACTGTTCATGGTAAACTGCTTCATTAGATCTCCAAACACACAATCTGGAGAGAAAAAAATGGTGCAAAATAAAAGCTCTTTTGTGTCAGAGGAATCATCTCAATTTTGAAAACCACTTCGTCGCAACTCGGAAAACTCTGCTCGTTGCACTGGCTGTAGTGGTTGTCAAGGACCACTCCAGAGGGTCCTCTCGCCCTGCTGTCAACTTGGCGTTGATTAATTGTGATGATGGCGGTCGTACACCGAACCCATTCTCACACAGGATGGTTTCCCGCACGTTTTGCTCCCCAATCCCCATGGACTCACCACAACCAACCACCCGTCGTTTTCGCGGATTCAAACCGGCAACGAACGCAACGGCCCATCCCAAGCATACACTTCCCACCTGATCTCTCCCCCCTCCCCCCTCCCTCTCGCACGCACCAACGGGAGAAGAGAGAGGAGTCCGCGGCGAGATGGCGGGAATAGGAATTAGGAAAAAGGTTGGGCGGTCATTTTCCCCCGAGTTGATCCACCGCACCGCAACTGCAGCTGCCCCGAAAGCAATGGCGGCGATCCGCGGCCCGGCGTCTCGTACCAGGCTTGGTCCGATCCGCGGCAGTTGGCGGTAGGTCAGCAGTGGTTGGGAGACGCGGGCTCTTCTCGTTTCTTGCCGCCAAGGCTTGGTTCAGTTCCGTTCGTTCGGCATGCATGACATGACCCGGTAAGCGTCGGCGTCGATCCTTCCGTCGTCACAACTCACAAGGCAGCCAACAGCCTGAGGAGTCCAGGTCCCGGAAACCCTCGACAGCCAGCCGAGAGGAGGAGGTCGGCGAAAGCTCAGCTCCCGTGAAAGCGAGGCGCCGGCCAGTGTATTACGCGCCGCTGCTGCATGCGTGAATCTTTTCCTGGTTTCGTATCGAGGGGACAGACACAGAGGCAGCCGTGAGCACATATGTCACTGCAGGGATCATTGGTCTACCCGAACCGATTTTCAATGTAGCTGTAGGAAGTCAAATGGTTTTGTTTTCAGCTGACAGCGAAACGGTGTCGGTAAATAGGTTGAAAAATAGTGTGTCCGCAAGGAAACTTGTACTCGAAATGATGAATTTGTGTGTGGGCCAGTGGACGTTCATATGCAGGGCGTGACGAGGGATGTTGGTTTGCTGAAAGTTCAAATGAATTTTGTCAGATCAGCCGTCATACTCCGCCCATTATTCCGTTGTATGATCTCAGATTTGACCTTTTGATGTGAATGGGTAAAATTTAGGGTGTGTTTAGCTATCCCAAATCCAAACTTTGGCACTATGTAAAAAGAAGATTCCCCGTCACATCAAACTTGCGGTACATGCATGGAGTATTAAATGTTGACGAAATCAAAAACTAATTGCACAGTTTGGTTGTACTTTGCGAGACGAACGTTTTGAGCCTAATTAGTCAACGATTGACAATTATTACCAAATATAAACGAAATACTATATGGCACTATATTGCCGTGCAGTGATTTTGCCACTACCGATTCCGGGCAACTAAACGAGGCTGTTCCGATTCCGCTTGTTTGGCCAGATGGCACCACCTCGAGAGTTGAGTGAACCACATGAGAATATGAGATCCATTTTTGACCTTGCGAAATAAGTACTCGGTTTCACTCTTGACGGGTCTAAGATTCAGGGTAATTTCCTTCCGAACCAGGATACTGACCCATATGCTTTCTTTTTCATTGCATTACCACGACACACAGATGACATAGTAATCTCTCACTGGTCGGCTCTGCTTCATTTAAAAATACCTCGAGATCTCGGAACAGAGCTTTCGTACATGTCACCATACCACAAGGGCTAAGGACGGACATCAAGAAAATTTACTGCACGGTCAAATATTCAGGCCTTGTTTAGATGCATCCCAAATTCCAAGTTTTTTCACTCTCTCTCCATCACATCAATTTTTAGCCGCTTGCATGGAGTATTAAATGTAGGTAAAAAAAATAACTAATTACACAGTTTAGTTGGAAATCACGATGAATCTTTTTGGCCTAGTTGGTCCCACTATTTGTCAAATAAAGCAAGAAAAATATCTTTATTTATCGGGTTGAAATTTTTAAGATCTAAACGAGGCCTCAGTTACCACCATATAGGGTACTAACAACGTACTTAGAACTCGACATGGATATATTTCTTCCATCCATCTATTTTTATGTAAAAAGTTAGATAGATACATGGCATGGCAATGTGGCATGACCCACCAAAGAGGCCTTTTAGCTCCAAGCTGTTGCCGACCAGCAACTTTTAAAACCTTCCGTCTCCACTTGCTACTATGTACACGTGGCAACTAGAACCTAGAAACGGCAAATTAAAACTCCTACTCATTTACAAACTAACCAACGCACCATCCCATATTTACACAAGGATCCATCCCATCGAGCACGCACGTGCCCCCCTTGATCGCGTCCTCATGAGCAGGATCTTATGAGGCCGAGGCTGGCCAGGTTCTTTTTCACAAGGCTCCCGAGCGAGAAGATCCCCGCACCGCCGCCGCGGCCCGCGTCGCCCTCCGTCGAGCACAGGCGCGGCCACCGTTCCTCGTCAACCCGGAGGCTCTCCGTGCCGATCCTCTGGATCACCTCGTCGATGGTCTTGGGGTCCGCGGGCCGGCCGGCCACGTCGGTGACGTGGAACACGTTCATGGCCATGTCGCCCCTGGTGGTGATCTCGGCGTGCGTGACCGAGAGGCTGTTCTCCCGGAACACGCGCGTGACGTAGGCGAGCAGCCCGCGGCGGTCGGCGATGCGCAGCTCCAGCCTCACGCCCTGCGCACAGTCACAGAGGATCGCTCAGTCTGGCGTTAGAGAATAGACAGAGGTGTGCAGCTGGGATTTCGGCCGAACACATGGCGGTGAAGTGGAAAGTTGGGCAGAGAACGAAAGAGACGTTGCGCTTGGGAGAGTGAAGAAGGGGGGGGGATCCGGAGTCGCGTGCTTTTGCTGCGGTGGCGTGGCATGGTGGGAAAGGAAGGGAGATATTCAGCGGTCACGCACCTCGGATGCGCGCCTCTCGATGGCCGCTTGCAAGCATTGGATCACGCGCCGCCTCTCGGCCGCCGAGCTAATTGGCTGCCCGTCCAACCGCCTGATGTAGAACTCCTGCACCCAAGCAACAGGATGTCAGCTTGTTCAAAAAAAAAAAAGATGTCAGCTTAGCTTCAGTTAATCAACCCGTGGTAAACAGGCGTGCATATGTATGCATAGGTATAGTGTCTGAATTCAATTTGCTGCACGGCAGCAGCAATTCAATCAGCCGTTCGGCTTTCCCAGAAGTCGGCTTGTTCGGCTTCTTTTTTCAATTGGAACAGTGTTTTTTTCTCATAACAATTTAGCCAGAACAGTGTTTTTCAGCCAGTTTTAGTCAGTTTCAGCGAACCGAACAGAGCCAGAGCAGCCAGAATAGTGCTCAGTACTACTATTAATTATGCAGTCGTCACTATGCTGGGGTACAATTTTGAAGCAGAATAATCTAGCAATGCAAATGAAACTAACAAAAACTAAACATTCCGTTTTATAATGACAAGCCCAGAAAATTCAGTAAAAGGAAATTTTCATGAACAAAAGTCGGGTTAACTTCAAGCATACACACAAGAATCACAATCAAAGCAACCAAAAGGTAAAAGTGGAGTAAAAGTGAGAAAAAAATTGACAGAAAGGTCCGACGTGCCTAACGCAGCCAGTTAGTACTATGGAAACATCGAGATTCCTGGAAGGAATTCCAACTTCAAGAACTCCAGATGGCTGGGAACTCAGTAATGGCGGCCCTAGATCAGCGCGACAAAAATCAAGGTAGAACCGACCTATTTCAATCAATCGCGAAAGAAACGCCTCGATGCCTCACCTGCTGGGCGTGATCGCCGTCCGTATCGAACGTGCCGTGGTACACCACGTAATCCAAGTCCGTCAAGGTGCAGACGACGTCGAAGAGCAGCTTGGGCCGGTCACGGCAGCTCACGGTGACCACCGAGTACCCCCTCTCCCCCCAATCCTGCACGGCGACCGCCGTCGCCTCCGCCTGGTCGGCGCGGCTCTCGGCCTCCCCGTCCTCGTTGAGAAGCTGGTGGAGCCTCCGGTCCATGTTGACGGCCGCGGCGTCTGCCCGGACCATCCTCGCGCCGAGCGCGCCGCCGCGGAGGACGTGCCTGAGCCTGGACTCCACGCGCCTGACCCGCGCCGCGTCGTCGATGGGCGCGCCCGTCTCCTCGTCGCGCACGAACACGAGCGCGGCGACGCGGCCGCCGTGCGTCCAGGCCCTGGCGTCGGCGATGCCGCAGCGGAGGTCGTGCAGCACGGCGAAGACCTCGGAGAGGAGGCCCGGGCGGTCGGCGCCGACGAGCTCGAGCAGGGTGGGCATCCCAGCTCCCACGGTGGCGGAGGGCGGCGTGCGGGGCGGCAATGCGTCCGCGGAGAGCGAGGACTCGAGCCGCGCCAGCAGGGCGTCGGCGTCGGCCACCTTGCGTCCCGCGGCGTCGGTGACGTGAAAGACGTCCATGAACCAGCGGCCGTCGTCGGAGGAGATGTAGCCCTTGCGGACGCAGACGCCGTGGTCGGACAGGGCCGCCACCGCCTCGAGCAGCACGCCGTGCTTCCTCGCGCTGTGCACCTGCACCAGCGTCGCCGTCGCGCACACGCCGTTGTCCACCACCACCCTGCGCCAGCCATCGCCAACCGATCACCGACCGCTCTTTCCATCGAAAGGATCCATCCAATCCAAGAACGAGAAACCGCAGAAAAAAAAAGACGAAATTGCCCCATCCCCACCCTCCCTTACCTCGGGGTGTTCATGTGGCGCACGAAGAGCTCGTACACCTCGGAGGGATGGTACCGCTCCATCGCCGCCGGGAACCCTCTCCTCCTCTGCTCCGCTTCAGTTTCTCGCGACGCGGCGACGGTTCCTTTGGCGCGGGGGCGTGGGTGCGTGCGTTTCTTTACTCCTGGGCAGGGCAGGGACAGGGAGGCGGAGATTTCGGTTCGGTCGGAGGGATCGTGGATTTGGTTCGGACTTGGGATCGTCGCGGCGGTTCAAAATTGGGTTTTCGCTCTGGTCTGGGCTGGCTGCAGCTTGCCGAGCTGCGGCCTCTCCGCCTGTGCCTGTGTCTGTGGGTGTGGGTGTGGGGATCGCCGGGGTTGTCTCGGTCAGCGTCCGTCTAAAATGGGCGCGCGAGACCGGCGATTTCACGCAACCCTTGCCACCGATTGGTGGGGAGCCTGAGAGGGGCGGGCTCTGGAGTCAAACGGCGGTCGCGGGCGAGGACCGGGCAAACGGAATGGTATGTGGTTGAGCTGCTGGGGTTGGACCGAACGGGTCCTGCTGGGAATTTTGTAAGTTTTTGCCCCACTACTTGTAGTACTGGTAGGAGGCTACTACTATAGACCTTGTTTAGATTGTAAATTTTTGCAACCTAGACACTGTAGCACGTTTCGTTTGTATTTAACAAAGTTCGATCATGAACTAACTAGGCTCAAAAGATCCATCTTGTGATTTACAACCAAACTGTGTAATTAGTTATTTTTTTATCTATATTTAATGCTCCGTGCATGTGTCTAAAAATTGATGTGATAGAGAGAGAAAAAAATTTTGGAATTTAGAGGTGATGTAAACAAGGCCCACTACACATGAGAAAGGGAGACGCTACCCGGCTGCCGTGTGGAAAAAGCTTCTGGGATCCGGTGAGAAAGTGATGAGTCAGTGGCGTTGTCGTGGGAAGGGAGGGCGGGGATCGCCGCCCTCTGGCCCATGCGTGGTTGCCAGCAGGCACCTGGTAGGCAGCCTGGCGCCGCGCCCACGCGCGTCGCGGAGAACCCCTTTTCCGATTCTTTCGTGCGTCTGGATGCACGGCCGGGTACAGCATACAGTACTCAGGCCCCGTTTAGACAAAAAAATTTTTGGATTCTGACTACTGTATCACTTTTGTTTGTATTTAGTAATTAGTGTCTAATTATGGACTAATTAGGTTCAAAAGTTTTGTCTCGTGATTTCTCACTCAATTGTGCAATTAGTTTTTTTTTCGTTTACATTTAGTACTCCATGCATGTGCCGCAAGATTCGATGTAACGGATACTGCGCAAAAATTTTTGGAATCTAAACAAGGCCTCAGTTGTGCCCAACCACCCAACCCTTGTGCAGTGTATACTACAAACTAGTTTTAGCGCGTGTTTAGTTTCAAAAGAACTTCTAAAAAAGTGCTACATGAGTCATCACATTAAATCTTGCGATACGTACATGGAGCATTAAATGTAGATGAAAAAAAACTAATTGCACAGTTTGGTTGGAAATCACGAGACGAACATTTTGAGTCTAATTAGTCCATAACTAAATACTAATTACCAAATAAAAACAAAAATATTACCGTAGCCAAATTCCAAAATTCCCCTCAACTAAACACGGGCTTAGCATCGCTGTTGTCCATTGGCCATTGCTTTCCATTCTTGCGAGAAGATACGACGGGTGTATGTAACGCGTTCATACTTTCAAAACCTTGTTCAGGCCTTGTTTAGATTGCAAATTTTTGTAACCTGGACACTGTAGCACGTTTCGTTTATATTTGACAAACTTTGTTCGATCATGGACTAACTAGGCTTAAAAGATCCGTCTCGTGATTTACAACCAAACTATATAATTAGTTATTTTTTTTACATATTTAATGCTCCATACATACGTACAAAAATTGATGTGATAAAGAGAGAGTAAAAAAACTTAGAATTTAGATGCAATCTAAACAAGGCCTCGCTGTGATCCCGGGGAACGGAGGCAGCTACGAGCAGGGCCGCGTCAAAGGCGCCAGAAGTTCTTAGGCGGGGAACGGGAGAAGGAAAAGGGAAATGAAAGCTACGGCCTTGGCGAGCATTGATAGCACCCACCGGGGTCAACCACCACCGCCACGCCCACCGCGCTCGAGGAGAATACCACCACCACGCGCACGCGGAGCTGGAGCTCGTCCACACCAGTACACCACACCTGACACCTGACACCTGCCACACACACACAGCTTGCACGCGCGCACGTACTCCGTCCTCCGTAGGCAAAAAGCATCACTGTTCTGATATGTGCTGCTGGCCCGCTCCCACCGAACGGTGGTCCCGAGCAGGCAGGCATCTCCACATCTGCGTCTGTTCAGACGACTCTAGTGGCTGATGGGGCGATGGATGGCCCCGTGCCACCGCGCGTTCCTTCCCTGTTGCTTGCCGTCCAAGCCAACCATTACCTGGAATATGCAGGACAAGTTCCTTTTTTTCTTGGAGCTGAAAGAAAGGCGCCCGGATTTCGCTCGGTCAGAGAAAAACCGTCAGGGTGTTAGCACATTAGAAAAGACTAAACGGGGACTGTTAACACTGTGCTGCCAAGTCAATCATCTGAAGAACCCCCGGTGTCCAGGCCCATTCGGAAGAAGAAGCCCAACCCTTTTGTTGCCGGCCCAGACTAGCTGTAATATGATAGTATTAAGAGGACAAGGGGCGAAGCAGAGGGGGAAAAAAAACTCTGTAACCGAATTCTGAATTGTTCGTACTAAGCACTCATCGTTAATTCGTTCCTTCTCAGCGAGTAGTTGCTTCTCTAGCAAGTAGTTGTTAACAGGGACTTATTTAGATTGGGGTTAGGAATTAATATTTTGGTACTGTAGCACTTTCGTTTGTATTTGATAATTATTGTCCCATCATGGCCTAACTAGGCTCAAAAGATTCGTCTCGTAATTTACAATCAAACTGTATAATTAGTTATTTTTTTATCTACATTAATACTCCATGCATGTGTCTAAAGATTTGATGTGATGGAGAGAGTGAAAAAACTTACAATCTAAACAAGACCCGGGTCAAGAATTCCAAGATAAAGAGACTACTACCCGTGGTCACCATGCAAATTAAAGAATTCTTTCAAAGGATACGGGGACGGACTCTCATCACAGGTTCTTTTCACGGGAAAGGATGTGCCGGCGTTGATTAATCGAGGTTAGTTGGTGTCTAGTCCATCCAGCAACAGTGCTTGCTTCTGCTGCGACAAACCTGCGAATCGAAAGAGACATATATATATATAAACTAGGCTTTCCATCGAGTCGATGTTGCTCGATCGATTCGCGGCTGGGTTGGCTTATAAAGCATGGTTAAAAATATTACTGACTGGTTTATAGTAAAAGAAAAATATTGTTCGTTGGCTGATAAACCGAGACTTACAAGCCGGATACTAGCCGGCGAACAGGTCGATCGCCCGTCGGACTCTTTGCTTCCATTTCCCCCAGCTGGATTTGCTTGCGAGCGAAGCACACGCTGTCATATGGGGCAGCAGCAGCAGGTAGGAGAAATCTGGAGAGAGATCATCATAATTAATTATTGAAGCAATTCAAGTACCAGTACGGCCTGCACATCCATCCATCGTAATGATGCCGTCCTTTCCGCACATGCCCTTTTTCGCTTGCACAAATTTCCTCCCGTCCCTGCAGATCCTTTCAGGTTAATTCTACAAGGTTGCGACTTTTGGGCTCATGATGAGGAAGAACGAACATCACACGTGATCGTTCATTCGTTCTTGCAAAGTTACAGTACACACACATGCACATCGATCGCTAGGTCCATTTTCAGTGCTCTGATCGTCGATTTGTCTTGTGTACCTGCACAAATCAGGTCGAAACGACAGCGGATCCTTTGCCATTCCTTTCCTTGAACTGCGACTGCGAGGATGGTGTAAACACTAAACGTACGTGCGCGTTATTACAGAAGCGCGTACGTACTCGCAGTAAATTCGCCGGCGTTTCTTGCCGAAAGTGGATCGGAGGTGCAAGCTGATAAGATCGCCGGGGAGACCGAAAGCACGCCATCTATAGATGCGGATTTCGGCTGGTTGGAAAAACGGCTGGCTGCTACAGCTGCTGATGCTGATGCTGATACTGATTTGTTGTGAGAGAAAAACACTATTATTTTGTTGTAAAGGTACGATTGATAAGTCAAGCGAAGAAGACCTTATTTAATGGCCCAATGACACATACAGTACTGGTGCGATAAGAATGTGACCCGTACTGCATCATTGTGGCTGCTAGGCCATCCAACTTGCGCGTCACTAGGCTGGGGTACGTATGTCTAGCTTGGGACCGCATGGCCACGTACAGGGCGGCACACGAGAAAACAACCGTATCGCCGCCCCGCGCGCGGCACCGGGAAACGCGCTCCCTGGATAGCGCCCACCCGCCGGCAGATGGGTGCGGTGCGTTGCGTGCGCAGGCTGAGAAGCGCCGGCAACAAGGCCCTACCCGCTGCGCTCCGACACCAACACTTTCGTCGCGCGGTGGTGGCACCGGCAGTCTGGCACCGAGCGTTTCCGGTGATCACAAGTCACGTCGCCGGCCAAATTGAACGCCAGTGCTTTTGCTGTTCAAACGCGACGTGCTCAAACGGCTTGGTTCGCCCTGTCCTCGGTCGCCTTCCGTGGACAGGAACTCTGCATTGGTTTGGAGGCATTGCAGGCCCATGCCCATTGCGCTTTGAACTCTGGAACCCACCCCATGTTACAGGCGACAACCGTTGGCCGTAGACCGCATGCCACGTACCCGGCGCCGCCGTCCGGCGGCTCCTAAAAGGGCATCACTAGCGTTCAAGGGCCTCTTTGGAGACGCGCGGCGGTTGGCGCGCGAAGAAGAACAAGTAAAAGGTACCGTATGAATATTCGGAGGTCAAATATATGAGCTTATAAGGGACAGGATGATAAATAATTTGTGTTAGGAACGCTCTTAGGCTGACTTCAGGTTTATACCCTAATTTTGACAGCTTGGTACAGTAGAACCACGGCCGGTAGAAGGGGGCAGGGTACACGGCATCAGCCGAGATGAGGTCGGGACGTGCAGCGA